TTAGTAGACAGGCCGAGACATCGTTAGTCAATAAACAGAATCCTCGTCATGAGAGCGCCTTCATTAGAACCTAATGGATCTTGAAAAGTTGTAAATGCGATGAAACGGTGTGCACATTTGAAAAAGCAGGATGGGCTTTTATCAGAGCGAGGATCTCTTTCCATCTCTCCCTGTTTCTGACATTAAAACTTTTTAGCACCTTTTATACAGCCCTGATTAAACTCTAACAACGGCTCATGCCAACCTTAAGTAGTATCAACATTAAAAGCTACTGTTGCATCTTTTTAAACAAGAAAACAAGTCATTGTGCACTTAAAAGTCAGTTTAAAGGATGTACGTGAACGTTTGGGAGTTTTATTGTGGGTAATATAGGCGCCACAAGGAAGTGGGATATCTTTGGCCTTCATGGGTTTGATCATTCCCATGAGGTATAATGCTATAATGCTAAATTCTTCCTAAGTGTGTCGACGTCTGAACTGTTTTCACCCCCAACTTGCTGCTTAAGGCATTTAAAGAAGGTAGAAATCCCTTTTATACCGGTGTCACCACGGGCAAGGGTTTGAAGATAAAAGCAGGAGAGAGAGGCGATACAGATAGAGACTGTAATACAGAGCTGTGGGCCTAGAGCAGTGACCCAGTGACATCCACACAAAAGGGCTCCATCAGCTCACACACTCCTTCTCTTTCTATTTCCCAGAAACCACCTCTTCAGGCTCAATCTGGAGGACCTGTCACTGATCCAGGTGAGTGCTAATTCTCCGATTCTGCCTCGGTCTGAATCACCGAGTGAATATGAGCTCACTGTCTGCTCACCACATCCAACAGACAGCGTGTTTAATCGCAGCGTGATGCCAGCTCCCACAACTTAAAGCCGTTTCAGTAAAATGGTTTACTACACATGTCAACAACTTCCCATCCGCCGAGTGACGCTGGGTTTTTTGGTTCGACAGCGCTTCGGAGGGAAGAGTGATGTAGAGTAAAGACAGCATGAAAAACCCTGCGTGTTTTAAATCCAATTTGAAAGTGTGTAATGACATGCCAGCACGGGGGTATTAACATCATGTGCAACTTCTAAATGTGATTTTAAGTTCTCAAGGTGGAGAGAAAATCAAATCATATTAAGCATTAAAGAGAAATTAACTAAACTTCAGGTTGGAATTCATGTTGGCACAAAACATGCATAAATAAAGTAAGCTCAAGGTGGCAGTTATCCTTTTTTTCAACTTCCTCCAAACCCCCTTCTCCAACATCCTCTTATTTTCCTTACCCTTTATCACACTTTTTTGAGCCCTCCCCACGTGGAGCGGAGAGTTTTGCGACCCACTGAGGGACCATCCAAACATTGACACATGGAGGGGTTTTCTTTTCTGGGAGGGTAGCAGCCAGGCTTCTTTGAGGGTTTGCCCCACTCTTGATGTTTGCCATTTACTCCCTGGAAACCCCAGAGGGAGAGATGAGAAGGGGGGAATGGTGGGATCGAACAAAAGACACAGGAAGGAGCTCTGTTGATATAAATGGAATGAGAAAACAGGTGCGAAGAAATTAGAGGCTGAATTTGTCAGATAGGAAAGAGTTGGAGGGAAGCGCTCACAAAGGAATCAGGGAAGCATGATAGCACACAGAGGGAAGACGAAGACGAAACCCCCCACGGAGCCACGAGGACTCATGCAGAGCCGCTCTTTTTGTCGCCGGTCAGTGAGGACGCCGATGCTTTTTATACCCGAGCACCCAATCATCCCTCCTTCTTTATTTCATCCTGCGCTCGGCTGGCGCTGCAGAATCAGAGAGGAGAGTCCACCGACCCAATCACCCCCTCATCTCCAGAAACACCAGAGAACAGACCTGCTAATCCCTGCCAGGCCAATTCAAGATGGCCTGTGTCTGCTTTGCATTCGATTGCAGAGTCAAGTTCAACTGCTGAGGAGCTATTCCTTAATCCACCCCCCTTTCAAATATGCTTCTCTCCTTTCTCATATCCCACACTGGCATGAACAGAAGACTAATTGCACTGAGGTTGCTTCTGTAGCTGCAGTTTTCACACATTTTTCATTCCTATTGTTGTTGGATTTGAAAGAGTTGAATGGATTCCTCCTCTGGCTTCGTTGCTCCACTCACATTACATGCATTGCTGCTTGATCAAATATATTTACAAGGGAATATGGTGCTGAGTGCCAGAGCGAACAAAGAAAGCATGAGCACAAACAGTCGTTGTTGTGAAAGTTGCATAATTGTGAAACTTCACGAGGGTCTGTTCTTGTCTTCCTCTCCAGCAGAAGGAAAACTAGCTAAAAGCTACGCCCACGCTCGTCTTTGTGATTTCACTCCATCCCCATGCATCAGCCGTGTCAGATAATGCCCAGTGGCAGTGATGTGTTCCTGCTTAAAGGGAGGCTGTGCTGTTTGACAGAGCACAAGGCTTACAGCTGCTGTAATACAAACAGCCTATCACGCTTTAAGAGGTGGATATAATTACCATATGATTGATGGCGAGCTGATCTCATCTTGTGTGTGTGTGCATGAAACATTTATAGAAAAGCCAAGGTCTTCTGCTGCGTGAAGGCAACATGAATCCCGCCCACTTTCCCTGCCCTGAGTTGGAGTATGCTTTTCAGGCTGAAAATAAACTATGAATATGTGGTAGCCTTGTTTTATGGAGGGGTTAGAGAGTAGTGACACTCAGTCTGGTAGCTAAACACTGGTCTAAACTACTCTATTGCACATATCGAGTTGAGTCTCGCAGATCGATAAAGTCTGAGCCCAGCAACCATAATCTCCTCAGTAAATGCCCTCGTAGCTTGGAGATAATAAAACACTGAAAAAAAGCCATCAGATGATGAGGGGAGAATAGGAAGCCAAATAAATGAAAAACAGAGGATGATGGATAATGATCAGGGTGGATATGCGAGTGTGAAGAGATGTGTTTTGAGGCGTGATTTCAAAATGTGGAGAGAGTCAGTGTTGCGGATGTCAGGTGGGGGGTTTACACGACAGCAAGGCACTTGAATCATAAAGAGAACATCTCTCACGTTGAATGAACTTGCTCACATGCACTCGATCTGAATTGCAATCGGGGGCCGAGTCGGCCTTGAAACATGACTCAACTCCCTGTGGCCTTGAGTGAAGTTAATATCTGGCTCTTAAAGGGTTTTTTTCTGCCGCTCGAAGAGTCCTACATCTCCCTGTCAACCTTTACCCTCATCTTCACTGATCTGGAAAACACTGTCAGGAACAAAAGGGTGGATCGTGTTCTCCTTGCTCCACTTTTGACTTACTTCTTCAGCAGTAGACTTTTAGAGCGTCCACAGCCAAAAAGCTAGAAAAAACGGAAGCCACAAAGCGCAAAATCCTTCCTCAATTTACAGGTGAATCCCACTTTAAATCCCACATCTGTTCCTTATTGTCCTTCTGCCCCTCGGACCATCATCTGCTGGCATCGCCATTATCCAGCGTGCACGGCCCCACAGCACAGAGTGTACAAACACTGATGAATTGGCCCCTGTAAATTTGCATTGTGTTCAATTTTCCATTGTGCTGCCAGAGCTGATGAATGGCCAAACCGCTTCCATGTACCACTCTCTCTTTGCGTTCTGTGTCTGTGAGCGCCACAAATAATATTATTTGTCGTTGTTGAATGCAGGGATCACAGTTACCAGTTATTATCTCCATTTTCACACCTGGTTTGTAACAAACACACCTTCATGCTGCTCCTATACCAACATGTCTCATTGGAATAAACATACATAGAATGATTCATCCAGTGGGGAAGTTACGTTTTGTGACAAATGCTCTATTGTAAAAAAGTAATGCAGTAATAAAATATCAGGAAAAAATCACAATTAAACCACTTTATTTATCCCAAGGTGGAAATTAAGTTTTGTTACAGTTTCTCCATTAAAAAGAAATTATAATAGAATAAAATAAGATGGAATAAAACTATTTTTGAAAATAAGAAGTAAAGAATTTGTTTTACAATATGAAGATACACAAAGTAAATGTTGTGGGGGAAACTTCTGAAGCAATTGGAGTCAGGACTCAGAGAGACACGAGGAGAGCTGGAGCTTTGATGGCAAACACTGACGGTTTATTTGGAGCTTCGGCCGAAGAATTCACAGACATGTCACGGGCCACGATCGACCACACGGTAGAGATGCCACAATCAATCCTGAAGAGCCCTCCTGCAGCTCCAGGTTTGAACCAGTTCAGAGTGTAATGATCAACATTCTTCAATAGATAGACTAAACAGCTGAGGACACTGAATCACAGTTGTTGTCGCTTATGGCTCGGGGTCATCTGCACCCCGAGAAGGATGTGTTCCAGGTGTCCCACAGCTATAACTATCTCTGACCGAGAGCTGCCCGGTCACAAACTGGCAACAACAACTTGCTAGGGCAGCCCCTCCTTACGGGAGATAGCGGCTGGTCAAGGGTTAGGGCATCTGCGTCACAGGGCGAAGGAGGAGGACATGCAGGGCGAATTATTCCCTGACACATATGAATATCTATAATAAAATATTGAATTAAATGTAAGATCTGCTAATTAACATTAGAAAATAAAGACAATAAGATTAAAAAACGGTATATTAAACATATGAATATAAAGAAATAAGTTAAATACGCATCTTACTACAATATATCGAACAATAAATATTTAAAAAGATGTATATAACAATATATACAGTGATGTATAAGTATTAATAACGATATACACAGTAAAAGACAGATAATTGCTTGAAATTACAGCTTAAAGTGTTATTAGAATTGCACAGTTGAATAATTGCGAGCATACAGCCCAAATATCTTTGCTAATTTGTGGTCTCAATAAGAGCTTGTTGGATCCACTATATCCTAAGGAATGGTGTTAATGTAAGAAGACGTTGAGAGAGCAAGAACGCTGAACGGAAAACAGGATGCAGACGCTGCGGCTGGGTTTCAGAGTTACTCTGCATTAGTCAATAAGCACCGGGATGAGCAGGATCAGTGGCATTGTTCCCCATTCAATACAGCACAGACTAAATGAGTGGATATTCACTCCAGACACTATCCATAACACTCCTCTTGGCAACACTCACTGTTTAGATGTATACTGTGCATGTGTCTTCACTCCCCCTTCTATTGTTGGGTCGTCAAGAAGGAAAAGGCAGACAAAAGCCTCTCTCCAGTCACACATGTTGTACTTCACGGGGCCTGGCTCTCGCAATTACACTTCTTCAGATGGACAATTAGCCCGGCTAATCAGTAGCTTACAGAAACGGCCCTCCATAGTTCTGGAAGCATTGCTAATTCAATTACTAGAACTCACTAACTCGGCCATTTACATGCATAAAGTGAAATCCCCCCCGTGTTGAATCAGGTTGTAAGAGGCGGAACAGGGGGTCCATACATCTGCGACTTAACTCCGCTCACGCTGTTAAGATGATTCGTGTAGAGACATGACATCAAGACCAATTTCATGTGTGAATCTTTCAGCGGTTTGCATCAGCAGACATCCGTGTGAAGAGCAAATATTGTGCCAGCACATCAAAAGGCGAGATCAGCTATTCATAAGACGAGATTAGATTTCCTCGGCTGGATTTGTCCAGCTCTCTCTCTCACTCCTCGTGTAAGTAGACGCTCCGCCAGACGTCTCATGGATCTGGACAGCTGTCAGCGGCGAGCGTGTTCTCCGGACCCTCTTGATGCTAATGTATTCAGAATCATGTCTGGAAAGTGTGCTGTTTTGGAATTCAGCTCCTCTCCTCCTCCACGCTGCCCACACTGTCTCTTTTGTTCTGGCTGACTCCTGATTTGGACTCTGTTGTTTTTCTGTCTCATTTCCCCTCTCCTCCCTTCCCACTCTCGCTCCCTTGGTATCTGTCCTGAACCCACCTCTTTGCGACAAAAGCCCCACAGTGTGAGACTGACAGGAGGCCCTGAGCACAAAGGATCATCTCTGAGGATTGCACACATTACAGGGGACAGTAAAGAGGGCGGACGCCGCACACAACATCACAGCAGAGGAATCTTTTATTTTATTCAGCTTTCCTGAAGCAACTGCTGACGACTGTGCCAAGTTCCCTCTGCCTCGCTCTGGATTCCTGCATCTAAATCTTGCTTTATCATTTAATTTTTTTTTTCGTTTTTGAAAGAATTAGAGCCAAGTAGTTGCTGATATATGAAAGGGGGACATTATTGTAGAGGAAACTTCTGTGTAGCTATGCAGTGGGAGTCACCGACTCAGGAAGGAGACACGGTAGGAGCAGTAGCTTTGATGTCAAACACATGATGGTTTATTTGGAGTTAACGGCCGGAGGATTCACATCACAAGTCCAAGAGTCAGAGGTTCTGACTTCACGGTAGAGTTGCCACGTCAATTCTGGAGAGCCTCTCTCTTGCCAGCCCATCTAACTGGTTTCGCAGAGAGTAAACAACATAGTTGAGGAGATAGCCTAAACAGTGTGGGAACACTGAGCTACTTGCGTCGGACACTTATGACCTCGAAGATTTCACCTTGGAGTCCACAAATACAGAGAAGGAAGTGTCCCAGTGTACCCACAACACAGACCATCTGTGACCCAGTATTGACCGGTCACAGAATGGGAACAATAACATTATTGGCTAAGCAGCCTGTGTCCTTAAAGAAGTTAAACAGACATCAAGGTTTGTCCTGTATGTTACAAATTGGCGTCTATGATAATTATTTCCATAACAATTATTACTAAAAGTAAGTCCAACATTGCAAGAAACAGGAGCAATCTTGCAGGTAGAATTATTATCAAACCCGTTATAAAGCTTCCATCATGTATGTAACAGGAAAACGACATTAGTTTGTTTGGCACACAACATGCTAGTATTAGGTTATAATAGGTTTTCCAAGTCATTTAAAGGTCCCATGTCATGCTTTTCTGGTTATTACCCGTCCCCTTGTGTTATGAAGGTTTCTCTGCATGTGAACGGTCTGCAGAGTCACAAACCCTCAAAGTACACCCTGTAGCGAGTAAAACTCTAACACAGAGAAGACCTGTCGTGTGCTGCCCCAGAACGCCTCGTTGGAGATTTCTCTTTTTCTTCCTGGGTACAGTGACGTGCCCATACCCAAATGGACCAATCCGCGGAGCTCCTCCCACACCAGGACCCCTTGGCTAACTAACAGGGAGTCCCATTGACTTGCATAGTGCTCCCTGAACGCTGGTAATAGACGAGTTGGGATGGTGGAGAAATGCTCTCCGCAGACCCGTTCTCACAGCGTTAGAAACCTTTTTTTTACTCAGTATCAAGCCACTCTGTGTGCTCAGGATGAGTTTCGCTTGTTCTCGCTGTATCGCCGACCCGGAAACCTGTCCGCTACTCGCAGCAACGAGCCTCGCAACGAGCCTCGCAACGAGCCTCGCAACGAGCCTCGCAACGAGCCTCGCAACGAGCCTCGCAACGAGCCTCGCAACGAGCCTTGCAACGTCCCGACCAATCAGAGCACACTGGGCTCACAGGGGGGGGGGGGCAGGAGCTCCAACAAGCCGTGTAGGACAGAGAGTGAATACACATGCTATACAGAGACGCTGTTTGAGAAACCAATGTGAGTTTGGAACATTGAACAGTATAAATGTATTCTAGTCGACCTCAACAATGGAATTATGATCAGTAGAAATGGCCATGACATGGGACCTTTAAGGGACTTTAGTGTATAGTTCAAACTAGATAAATCATGATTTATGGTAATAGCTGTATATGGATGGGTCAAATAATCCTGCACGGTCTGTCAAAATATGAAATTGGTCACAAAAATACTATTATTATAAGCTTACATTGGCAAAGAGACCGATGTAAATGAGTGGATACCTTTCTTTTTAGGCATATCAACTTCCCTTAAGGTCCTAAAGTTGTATCATTGTCTGATAAGAATATCGTCAATGTATTTTTTGGGACTTTGCAGTCAATTACTCCCAATTGTTTTCCATTTACATACATTAGTAAGTACAATATTATCATATGCAATGTAAATGCGGAGATTAAGTAGTTGCACTAAGCCATAATCATCATTTGACAGCTGGCTTCCTTTTCCACTATAGTTGCTTTTCTCCACAGATGATTACAGTGCCTTGATGGACATTTATTTTTCTTCTGGGACAATTCCCCACCATGGTCCGCTCACTAAATTGAATCCTGGTCCTCTCATCTTCTTTGTTTCCCCTGTGTGTCTCTATTTCGGTACAGAAAGCGGTCTTTTGTAAAGCAGCTGATAAAGCCGTGAATTATTATTTAACGGCAGCGCATTCCAGACATATTTCGGATCAGGACACATCCATCTTAGGAGCACAGTGTCTGAACAAAAGCATGTTAATGAGCTTTAATGTTTCCTAATGGACACCGGGACTTCTGCTCTTTACTCTGAGTCGGCACCATTTGAGGCAGGGCCGTCAGATAAAAAGGCTTTAGTAGTCAATGATGCCACAATGTCCCCCACTAACAGGCTCACAGACATCACCGTGATGTCCTAAAAATGTAAATAACACTCTGAAAATCTGCTTTGAAATATCTCAAATGGTGATAAATCGCCTTGTAATGATAAAATCAACCATTCTGCACCGATCAAAGTGATCCAAAGTTCTAATTTTGCATGGTATTATGATTGATTTTCACCCTGAGCATGATGAGGAAGGGTTTCGGACCATTAAGAGGTTTTTTCTCCCCCTCCTCCCCTGCGATTAGCTAAACCACTTTTTAGCGCCTACATTGAATTCAGCAGGGACTCGCCGGGCTGCTGCTGTGCGACTTGTGCTGATGTGTTTGCTTTTTTGTCTGTGGTTGCTGAGAATAGCCCGCTTTGGCCTGGAATGTGAACTGACACACACACACACACACACACCCACACACACACACACACACACACACACACACAACACACACACACACACACACTCACACACACACACACCCCACACCCACATGGAGAAGAGCAAGAGAGAAGCCAGCTCACATTAATACTCTGTATCTTATCCTCCCTGAATGGTAGCCCACACCCTGAGCTCCTCTCTCTGCTAAGCTGTATCTGTGCAGTAATGTGTGTGTGTGTGTTAATGTGTGTGTGTGTGTGTGTGTGTGGTGTGTGTAATGTGTGTGTGTGTGTGTGCGTGCGTGTGTGTGTGTGTGTGTTTGTGGGGGGGGTACATACAGAGGTTTCTACGGCTCCTAAAGGCCAGCGAGGAAAGCAAAAGTCTTGTCGTAAAACACAGAGAGGAGACTCCCAGAAGATTCCCACAAAGGAAATGTAAGAAAACATAAAACAGTCCTGATACCAAGGTGAAATCTAATATTCTCCGACAGTTGGCGATATTTACTGTAGCCCCTCTGAGGGTGAGTTTCTCCCCCCCCCCTGGAAGCTAGCCAGGTTAAGACCGCATGAAACTCCGTGTCCAAGTTGAATATCTTCTAACTTTTTTCTGGACTTTTCGTGACTTGGCGTAATCACATTATTGCACCAGCCAATTCTTCTGTTAAGTATTCTGTGCAGCTGGTCGGCGGCGACGTCTAATTCCCCCTGTCACACACCTGAGTGTCTTCTGTTCCCGTGCACCCCCGAGGCCAACGCTCATTTCATGAAAAGAGAACTTTTGTCAATGAGAAAGAAACCCCACAGGTCACGATGATGAAATTAAACGGTAGAATAGAATTGTGTCTTCACCCCCGGAGACCAGTCGAAGGTTTTATCTCCTCCTTCCTCCTGCATGCTGTTGTCAAATGTAAAAGTCGTCCCTCTGTTTCTCCCTCACATGTAAATCACGTTGACATCCTCGTCTGGGGAATTAAAGATGCCTCCCTTTCACCCTCATGCATAAATCAAACTGTGCAAACGTGTCACTCGTATTCAGGTCTCTGCTTGCTTTTCACCTTAATTGGATTCTGTGTCTGTTTTTTAAAACGGCTTACAAACATGCCTATACTGTAAGTATGTAAATGAGGGATTGATAGTACAGTGAAAATGTTAAAATAACTTACTGTTCGCTTCTGTTTTAATCCATTCCTCCCTCTCAAGTCATGAATACATCTATAAATACATCCTCAGCTTCCATAAATCAGTGTCCTTGTCTTCTCTGACATTGTTATTGCTTCTGCTTTCTCTGGAATCTATTTGACTTTAAAAAGGAGGGAATGTCGCCCGTGTTGAGAGCCAGACCTTATTTTGTTGGGTTCCCTGAGAAGATTTTAAAGTGGTTCATGTTTGGTGCTTCTCTTAAACGTCACACTGTTCCTCTCTGTGTCTGCAGGAGGCTGAGTGGCACTGCGATGAGTTCACCAAGGGAGCCTGCTTCAGCCGGGGAAAGTCTGAGGTGAGTTTAAGTGATGTTTCAAATGTGTCACTCTGTTATATTGCTTTATCAGACACCTGTCAGTACGTCCAAAAACACATTTCAGTGTTCAAATAACATCTCGTCCTCAGTCGAAGGTGTGCTTCATCGCAGAGATACTGCAGGTCTGCTAGCACACACAAATCAAGACTTATCTGTTTCATGAAATCAAATAACTATTCATATCTTACACCTCTTTGAATATTTGTTTAGATGTATTTAAATGTCATTTCATAATGTGTTGCAATATCACTTTTATACTATACTTTTTAAATAAACTTGCCTTGCCTTATGAAACACGGTTGCAACTCTGCAGCTAACTTGGTTTCAATCAAGAAAATGAAATGGATATTCCAGCAATAAAGTATTCAATTCACTTTGTTGATATGTTACAAACTACACTTGCCATAAAGTAACTCAATAGCATCTTTGAGATTAATATTTCATTTATGTCTGGTAAATGCTAATGTATCTCAAATTCTAAACCCAATGCTAGCAGCTCTGTGATACTAAAGCACCGTGGTGTTTTGAGCTAAATGCTAACCTCAACATGCTAATATGCTCAGAATAATCCCGTTGAATTGTTTGGATATCATGTTCACCTCGTACGGTGGAGGCTGGTGGTGACATTGTGGTCAGTTTTGCAGATATTTGATCATAAATTAATACTTTTTTAAATGTATATCCCTAGGAGAGTGCAGACCTGAATGGGAAAACCTTTTTTTTTGTATCTGCCCCTTAATTTGGATCCTCTTCTAAATGACATGGTTTCTTCCTTGGCCCATGCTTCACTCAAAGACTTAGTTTAAAAGAAATCAAGCCAGCTGTTATTTCCTTAATCCGGCAAGTAAACAGAACTTGGTGAAGGTAACTAGAAATTAAACCTTGATTACTGTTGAATACTTTTCTAAACTTCAAAGCCGCAGCCTTCAAAACAGGGAATGACTGTTCAACGTTTCCCTGTGGGTTTGGTTATCTATAAAAATACGCAGTCTAACAGAAGAACTGAAGGCTACAGATGTCCGATGGCACCCTTTACTCTAGCTCACATGTGAATTCCTTATTTATATGTGGGATTATCCTCCTAAAGGATCTAAATCAACTTGTTATGAAGTGAAAACCTTGAATCCTATTTATAAGCCTCGCAAAAAAGGGAGTTCCTATTGTTTTTTTCTTTTTGGTGCAGGATTGTGTGTTTTTGTATGTGGTTAGCTGGCATACTCTGAAAACAGCTGGGTCCGAGTATGAACTTGACTTGTAGGTGAACTGGTGTGTGTGTGTGTGTGTCAGTGTGTGTCTGTCAGTGTGTGTGTGTGTGTGTGTGTGTGTGTGTGTGTGTGTGGCGTGTGTGGTGTGTGTGTGTGTGTGTGTGTGTGTGTGTGTGTGTGTGTGTGTGTGTGTGTGTGTGTGTGTGTGTGGTGTGTGTGTGTGTGTGTGTGTGTGTGTGTGTGTGTGTGTGTGTGTGTGTGTGTGTGTGTGTGTGTGTGTGTGTGTGTGTGGCCTAGCATTACTATACTTGTGGGGACCTACTCTGTTTACACAGTCACGTGTGGGGACTCACCTCCCTTATGGGGACAAATTGGAGGTCCCCATTTTAGGGTGAAGACTTGGTTAGGGTTAGGCATGTGTTGGTTAGGTTAAGTCTCCAGGAAATGCATTTAAGTCAATGTAATGTCCCCTGAAGTGAGTGTGTGTGTGTGTGTGTGTGTGTGTGTGTGTGTGTGGTGTGTGTGTGTGTGTGTGTGTGTGTGTGTGTGTGGTGTGTGTGTGTGTGTGTGTGGTGTGTGTGTGTGTGTGTGTGCTGTGTGTGTGTGTGTGTGTGTGTGTGGTGTGTGTGTGTGTGTGTGTGTGTGGTGTGTGTGTGGTGTGTGTGTGGTGTGTGTGTGTGTGTGTGTGTGTGTGTGTGTGTGGTGTGTGTGTGTGTGTGTGTGTGTGTGTGTGTGTGTTTGTGTGCGTGCATGCGTGCGTGTGTGTGCACCGCTGTATATTTACCCTCCTGTGAAAGGTGGTCTGGGACCATAATAGGCATGCAGGGGCCGGCCAGCCTCCGAAAGCTGAAGTGAATTACAGAACCGAAGCTCCGTCAGTCCTGGAGAGTCGCTGCTGTCTCGCAGATGTGTTTTCCTCCCTGTTCTCTTCTGAGGATCAGCTCTGTGATGCACACGCAGAATAGCATTAAAAGACTCTGTGCAGTTGACAGGCTTTTTGATGCTTTATTACCTCGCTCAGCGCAGCACTATACCATCGCTTAAGCTATTACACAGATACCGTGCCTGTGCTTTCAGTACATTTAAGTGATTGTCTTTTTTTTTTATCTTCCCTAATGCACGCATCCACTCTTCTCTCGTGTATTTGATTTATCTCAACCGGGAGAAGAAGCAGAGTTAAATTGACTTGACAGGACTTGATTGCTGTTTCTGTTTTGTTTTATAATGCGAGCAGCCTCGGTATTGCAGTGCAGACGGGGAACATTTGTCAGGAAGTTTCGTAAACAAGTCAAGACTGTTAGGCTGTGCAAATATTACATATTCCCTTATTTACCTTGGAAACAAACTGCAGCGGAGAATTGAATTATGCACCCCCTCCCCTCCTCTCAATCCTGCACAGTATAATCACACAGATATATGGGCGAGTTTTACACACACACAAACGCATACACACACACTTAGGCTGTGCTTAGCACCACAAACGAGTTGGTTTATGAGTCACCTTCATCTTGATAGGGGGAAATAAAAACCTCCTTCCTCTCCATCTCTCCTACAGTGCCCTAAATCAGACCCTGGAGAGGGGGGGGGGGAAGGGGAGGAGGTGTCACCCCGGGCACCTCAAGTGGCTCGGACACTTTGAGATTTACAAGGTTTTTAAATTTCCACGAGGGGTCCCAAACCAATCGGGGCTCCTTTCAGATAGAGGGGACTATGAGTTTATTACCTTCATCCCAGCACAAAACAAACACCGCTAGTTGACTTGAAATCTGACGGCTGTTGTTCCGTTGATGGATTTCAGCGGTAAGCTTGCATGAAAGGCAAAAGTTCACAATGTTTAGCGGCCGTCGATCAATCCATCATCCGTCACGCTTTATTCTCGCACGCTTTTAACTAAGTGCTGAGAGGTTTTTTCTCGAAGCTCAAGCCAAAACCTCTGCGGAGCAAGCCCAAAAGAAAGTGTACTTCAACGTAATTTAGACAATATAGTAATGTGGAGAGAAGCTTATAACCGAACATGCTTTAATGAAGAGGGACTCTCATTTCTGACCAATCAAGGACTCAAGGTTTCAAGGCTTTTATTGTCATTTGTGTATAGCTACAGTGTAGTTATGACAGTTCAAATCTTAGGGTACAGGCTCCTCCAACAGTGCAACACAATCAACAAGTAAATAAAAGAAATGGCAGAATAGTCTAAAGTAATTGGAATATTGATATATATAAGTCATTTAGACAAGAGTGGTTTCAATGGACTAATGTCGAGAGAAGCTTAAACCAAACATGCTTTAATGAAGAGAGACTCTCATTTCCGACCAATCAGCGAAGCAAAGGCAGTTTTCTGAAGCGATCCCACTCCTGCTCCCAGTTGAATTAGGATGTGACGTGGCTGAGCTGTGAGGACATTAGCTTTGATTTGACTCTGTCCGGCTCGCCCACGTTTCAGAGTTTCCTTCTGAGGCTGCAGGTGTTTGTCTCATGAAGTGTAATTTAGAGTTTAGTGTGCTAACTGTGTGCTGATGTGTTTCCACAGGAGGAGTGCCAGAACTACATCAGGGTGCTGCTGGTGAACGGCAACCGGCTGTTCACCTGCGGGACCAACGCCTTCACCCCCATCTGCACCAACAGAACGGTACCCACATCTTTAACCTGCTGCTTCTGCTTCTTTCTACCATGCTACTTTTATTGAACCAGCTTCACATGGATGCATATTCTTCTTAAATGTTAGATTATGTCACCGATAGTGGCTCAGTTTTTGACTTTGAAACATTTGTGTGTCAGTGCTTAGAAATCAGAAATCCTTTATTTGTCACACAGCAGGAATAATACAGACAGAAGGTACAAATAAGCAGGTTTGGAAGAAGTAAAGGTTGCAATATTCAATGGTAAAAGTCCTGCGTTCAAAATGATGTAGAAGTACACGCGTACCAGCATCAATTTATACTGAAAGTATCAAAAGTGAAAGTACTCTAAATGCTTAACGGTCCATTCCAGAATAATATATATTAAAATTGCTGGATTACGATGTAGGTAGGATAAGTATTAAGATCCTTTACTTAAAGGTCACCTATCTTGTTATTTTTAGGCAATAGCACAGGTCTCAGATATATAAAGATATATAAAAAACATGTCTATGAAGTGTTTTGCTCAAAATACCAAACAGATCATTCTAGCCATGCCTCATATCCCTCTATTTCACTTCCTGTTTCTAAAGTGCTGATTCGGGTATAAAGCTTTAATAAATTGATAAAAAGGAGGGGTCTGAGCTCACGCGGGACCCGGCAGCTACTGTCTAAACTAAATGCTGCCGTGATGAAACGCCATATCATGGATTATCAAGGATTCTCTCTGAAACAGTTTGGAGCTCAAAGGCTTTCTCTCTTGCCGGTTATACCACAAGGTGAGTTCCTTTTTACTTCCTGCTTCTTCACACACATGCTCTCCAGTACAGGTTAGCTCTGAGTGTTAGCGATGCTAATGTAAACACCGACCATATTACGTCCAAAACAGTCGGGCATTGTTTCTGATAGCAACGTTTCTGATTGGGCCGTGGGTCCACATTTCAGATATTACGTCATATCGGACGCAAATCTGGATCAGCTCCGTTGTTCCCCGTTTTTAGAGATTTGGGTACGGAGGAAAAGAGAGAGGGTTTTATTTCCTGACGCTGCGTGAGTTCCCCGACACACCGGGGACATGATAGGTCCCCTTTAAGTAAAAGTACATTTATGTCAAAATACTTAATTTCAAGTAAAAGTCCTGTATTCTGAAAAGTGCAGGAAGTGTTGTCAAGAAATTGTAACTAAAGTATAAAAAGTGAATTATTCTGCATGATAATGTCATCCATATGTCATATATTATTATTAGAGCCGGGACTCGATTAAAAAAATTAATCTAATTAATTAGAGGCTTTGTAATTAATTAATCGAAATTAATCGCATTTTTAATCACATAAATATTTGACCTAAGAACAGTGAGAAGCAATTTTTTTCACATGTATTTTAGTTTACCATTAGGCGCATTCACACCGCAGTACTTTTCCCACAAAGGTTCATGAGAATTTAGTTCATGAGAACTCTTTGAACCTGGGGGTGGATTAGGCAAATGAAGCCGCTGACGTCACTTCTTCTTCTTCTGCTTTGGTTTTACTGGCAGGCCGCAAACCACTTCACGGCGTATACTGCCGCCCAAAGTCCCCGGCCGGAAGTCCCCGGAGTTGGGGATTGGCTTCAGTAGAAGCTGCTGTCCCAGCTTCTACTGAAGCCTTCCGAGTAAATCGCCAGAACGCCGACACCTCCTCATCTCCACCGCTCCCATGTTTTATTTTGTGTTGCCATAAGTTAGTCTCTCTGCGTTCCTGCGCTGGGCTAATGCTAATGCTAATAATGCTAATGCGAGGATAATAAAATGGCGGCTTCACAAAACTTTTTGGGAGTTTTACGGGGCGTGGTTTGCAATCCGCCCAGCCAATCAGAAATATAGCTCTTTTCCGCACGAAAGTCCCTGCTCTCTAGCAGCTCTCTGCTCTCTAGCAGGGACTTTCGTGGGGGTAAAAAGGTTCTCATGAACTAATTTTAGTACCGGCTCTTTTTGGTGTGAACGCGATAAAAGAGGCTAACGTCCACGCTAGCTGCTATATGTTTTGCATTGAGGTGACACTTGAGGCTTGATGTGCTGCGGTGATATGCGAATTCCTTTTTGCATAATTTGCACACAACCGTGCTCTTATCGACGCTTCCATCCGTCCGTTTTTTAAAACAACATTTCCCACTGTTGTTCACTGTGGTTTGTTGTTGTCTGAAGTCATGAACGTTAGTTGGTGCTCCAGTATAATCGGTACGCCTGAAACTCATCCAGTGAGAAACGTTCCGCGGTGCAAAAATAAGTGCGATTAAAATGCGTTAATTTTTGTGTAATTAATTAATCTTAATTAACGCGTTAAAGTCCCGGCCCTAATTATTATATATGTGGCAATATTAGATTATTAGTATATTGGTATGATTTACTGTTGTACTGTAACACATTACGGTGTTAAAAACGTTTTGTAATATATTGCATAGTTTTACTTTTCGGTACCTTAAACAGTCAGAGATGCTTTATGTCTTAAGTGTATAAATAACATGTCAAATATTAAGCGTTGACATTAATACTGTGTAGCAGCCAGTAATAACCTGAGTAAAGGTTATAAATTGCTTGCTGAAAATCTTTAAAATAACACCTATTACCACAGGAGCGCTCCTTAATCAGTCATTATCCTTCAGCTCGGGGATATGTCATGCCGGGTGAGCCTGTTAACAAATATGAATTGAATTGTTATTGATCAAAGTGACAATATCAGCAGGAAAGGCCAAGGTTGATCAGCACATTTCATCAGGATGTGACGGAGCCGTGCTCTTCGTGTCACACCATGCACTCAGGGATGTAGACTCATTATGAGATGAATGTTATTAAGCATCCAGAAGTTGTGTTTCCTCAAACTTGTTAAACATCCCAATCAAAATATTGCCTTAAGCTCATTACTCCCGATAATATGCCGATGACCTACGACTAATTATCCTTGTCCCATCTGTGCCCTTCTTCCTGAGTGATTGAAGTTATTCTTTGTATCAAATCATTCTTCTTCTACATTTTGGTCTAATGGGATGTGTTCACTCTTCTTCTCTCTTTAATCTTTCTACACAGTCCTCTTAATCACATTTTCTAGGATTAATAGTTAAAAGAGACTTATTTGCCATACATCTATAGAGAGTCATAACGTTGTTTTCCTGGCCTCGGTGCAAAAGGACATCATTAATAAAAAATGCAGCAAGATACAAGGCAATACATATAGCACAATAATGCAATAATAGACTGGATTTATCCAGCAGTAAAATACATTTTTCTTTACATGAAGTCATTGCCTTTCATCTTTTGTATTCAAATCTCTTTTATGTGTCCACTGATGCTCCGGCCACACGAGGACGAAAACGGCTAAACGCATAGGATTAACGCAATCGCAAACAAGCTTCCGTCCACACGCAATATTCACCGGATAGTGTCTGCCCACACGAGACCGCTCCGTTTAGCTCCAACCGCTGGAGAAGCTGCAGTACATATGCCGAGCCTGTACGTGGCGCTGTAACTTCCTCCACAAAGGCAGCGAAGAAGCATGGTTGTCATGGTTGCCCTTCTGTTTATTCTCCGCGGTGGGGGCCGAGGGAACCGGGCAGAGTTTCTCGCCAGTCAACGTGTATTCAAGTTTAAATCTTCCGACAAAATTATAAAAGTGCCGGTCAAAGGTCTTCTTTGTTATTTATTGAGCTTTAAAACAAATAAATAACGAATCTATATAATAATAAAATACACGGAGCCTCTCTTTTTCCTCCCTCTCTTCGGACAGCGCCAGTGTCTGTCTCATGCAGCAGCTGATCCAGTAATGAGTGACCCGGCCGACAGTAAAAATAAACATATTTATAACTAGTTTAGGTTTGAGAGGTGTCTCCGTCCTGTCAGATTAGACTTCACTCGCGTTTATGTCCATATCGAGAGAAAGATAAATAATCTGAATTCAGTGTGCAGTTTACTTTGACGCGGGGGTGAGCAGCAGAGGTGGGGAGAGGCGGGGCTATTGCCTCATCATTATCAGAAAATGATCGTATAGGGCGCACACACGGAGCCGTTGGACCCCCCAGAGCGTTGCGTATGCCGTTCTATCCACCTTGGGACCCGTTATCGTTTCCGCAGTCGTTTAGTGCCGTATTTGGTCGTCCTCGTGTGGCCGAACGGTCTATATGACACTAAACAGTAACGCAAATGACCGTTTTCGTCCTCGTGTGGCCGGGGCATAAGTCCTCTAAATCCTGTGTTTTAAGATATAGGATAAGAGAGATTTTATTGTCATACATCTACAGTGCAATAAAAAGCATTGCATCAGGGTCCCAGTGCACACACAAAGGAATGAGCATAAGTTGCATGCTAGTAAAATATATATATAATATACATTTAAAAATATAGTGCAGTAAGAAACATGTAATGCAATAAAAACACAAAAACAATGCATATTAAGTAGCGTTAATACAGGTGGTGCAATACATGTAAAACAGTGTATACTGTGCAATAACCCTTCACACTTCTATTTAAATGTAATTTGCCATTCTTGCACACTAATGTAAATAATATCCAATTGATATTGTGTTAGCTGTAATTTAGCTTTTCAATAGAGTTCAGATAATCAATATATTTTATCTTCACGGTCAGCTTTGATGTTTTCACTCTTTTAGCTTCTATTTTGAGATGTTATATTCTATAATTGTTGATTTTCTACTCTATTTCTAACTATGTGCAATACTCAGTACTCTGCTGCAACAAAACTATTCTCAATTGGGGATTCATGAAGTATATGTTATCTTATCGTTATCTTATAACCACAGTAAAAGCAGTTTATGTTCCTGCAAGGCAAGTTTATTTATACAGCACCTTTCAACACAGGGCAATTCAAAGTGCTTTACAAAAATGAAAGACGTTAAGAAAATGGCATTTAAAAGATAAGTAAGTCAGTGAAGGCCACACAAGTTTCTTTATGCACTTTGTAACCTGCTGCTCCTTGTTTAACCCTTAGATGCATAAGTGGGTCTTTTTTGACCCGGTGAGGTG